GCATCTAGAGTAATCAGACTCATGGGAACGAAAGTATATAGAATGGTGGGGGCAGGGGGCAAAGGAAAGTGGGGAGTTGTTTAATGGGTGTAGAGCTTCAGTTTTGCAAGATGAAAGAGTTTTAGAGATACTTGTACAACAGTGTGAGTGTTCTTGACACCACAAAACTGTACACTTAAAAATGGTTTAGAGGGCTGGGGATATAGCTCAGTTGGTAGAGTGCTTGCCTCACATACACAAAGCCCTGGGTTCAATTCCCAGCACCACACACACATACACACACACGCACAAAATGATTTAGATTACCAAGTGCTGTAGTATACACCTGTAATCCCAGCTACTTAAGAGGCTAAGACAGGAGGATCACAAGTTTGAGGCCATCTTGGGCAACTTAGTGAGACCCTGTCTCAAAATAAAAAGGGCTGGGAATGTAGCTCAAAGGTAGAGGGCTTGCCTAGAATGCATCGGGCCCTGAGTTCAATTCTCAACATTAAAAGGGCTGGGGGGTAGCTAAGTGGGGGAGTGTTAGCTTGTTAGTGCTCATGTGACTTCAAGTTCAATCATAATAAAATCATAATAATAAAGAAGAAAATGAAAGAAAGAAAGAAAAAGAGGATGGAGCCCTCTGGGATGCCAGTATTAAATGGTAGGTTCAACAGAAGGTAGCACAGCTGGGAATGTAGCTCAGTGCAGAGCTTTTGTCTAGTGTGCACAAGGCCGGGGGTATCATCCCCAGTACTGGAGGGGAGGGGGAAGATGGAAAAAGATGCTGAGAAGGAACAACCAGAGGAGAAAATTCAAATGTCAAAAGCCAAAGCTGAGAGAATTTGAAGAAGGGAGCAATTGCTAGTTCTGTCAGATATGAGGAGGCCTAATAAGTATTCATTTTGTCCATTAAATTAAGATACACGGAAGCCACTATTGGCCTCAGAAAGACTATTCATGTCTTTGTATGTAATGGTAGGTGACAAAGTGGTTGAGAGACAATGAAATGGAGAAACAAGTACAGAAAAGTATAGACAGCTCTTTCAAGAGGCATGTTAGTAAAGGGCAAGAGAAAATAAAGGTAACAGTAGAGGGCTGGGGTTGTGGCTCAGCGGTACAGCGCTCACCTAACATGTGCGAGGCCCCGGTTCAATCCTCAGCACCACATAAAAATAAATAAATAAATAAAGGTATTGTGTCCGACTACAACTTAAAAAAAAAAGGGTAATAGTAGAGAAGGAAGTAGGATGGGAGAAAGACTTCCATCGACTTAAGACAAGTGACATTCTTCTGCTACAGTCTTTTCTAAATAAACCGTATGTTTAAAAATCAGCTCTAGGGCTGGGGATATAGCCCAGTTGGTAGAGTGCCTGCCTAGCATTCACAAGGCCTTGGGTTCAATCTCCAGCACCACCAAAAAAAAAAAAAAAAATCAGCTCTAGAGCCAGGCATGGTGGTTCACACCTGCAATCCCAGGAGCTCAGGAGGCTGAGGCAAGAGGATCACAAGTTGCAAGCCAGCCTCAGCAATTTAGCAAGTCCCTAAACAACTTAGCCAGACTCTGTCTCAAAATAAAAAACAAAAGGGGATGTAGCTCAGTGAGTCCAATCCCTGGTACCAAAAAAAAAAAAAGTTACTCTAGCAACTTATACTTCATAAAATCATACAGGTAAACCAGAATATTGGACATGTAAAACAAGCAACTGGAAATTCACTTGATGTATATACTGGGCAAATCTTGTTTTAGAAGTTCTAATAAATTCTACAGTTGCCCCAAATAATAATTTGAATGTAGCTTACAGATAAGCAAATAGTGTGTTGAGATCTTGTTCCTCCAAGGGAACACAGGAGAGTCCAGAGGGGCTTTGCAGAGGGCAACTTCTGCTCTGACTCCACATAAACCCCTAAACTTCTCTAAGAATGCTTCTTACTCTGGAAAATGGAAATAACCATCTCACTTGCAGGGTATATAAACCCAAAGACATAAATACACAAACTTCTAGCATGGTGTCTGATGTTTAACAGGTAGTAGGCTTTGTGAACTGAGATTGTAGCTAAATGGTCAAGAGCACTTTCCCAGCATGCATGAGGCCCTAGGTTCTATTCCTGGCTCTGAAGAAGAAAAAAAAAAAAAAAGAAAGAAAGAGAGTGAGCTTTGTAATCTGTGCACCAGTGGTGGTTGTCAACCCCACACCACTCCCAGGTCCCACCCCTGACCTTGAGAGAAGAGTGGTTCTGCTAGTCCCTTATATTGTGTTTTCCTTGAAAATGGTAAACCATGATACTGACCTTAAATGTCTAGAAAGGACTTAAATTCTTATTGCAATTGTTTTCTCCTTTGCATACTTTAAAGGGATATGTCTTCCAGGTATGCTTGAAGATATAAAGGAAACAAATGTAACTAGGAACATTGGTTAACTGCTAGAGTAAAGGACATTGTCTATGTTGTCAAGAGCTGCAGCTGCCATGGAAATCTTTTCAAAAATACTCTCTGGGGGCTGGGGTTGTGGCTCAGTGGTGGAGCGCTTGCCTAGCATGTGTAAGGCACTGGGTTCCATCCTCAGTGCCACATAAAAATAAATAAAGATATTGTGTCCATCTACAACTGAAAAAAAAAAAAAATGATACCTTCTGCCTCTCCCTGTTTGCCAGCATGACTCACAGAGCCCATAAAACAGTAACAGTGACAAAAGCGTACATTTGGTGCTGGCATGGTGGCACACACCTGTAATCCCAATGACTCAGAAGGCTGAGGCAGAAGGATCACAAGTTCAAGGCCAGCCTTAGCAACTTAATGAGACCCTGTCTCAAAAAACAAGCCAGGTACAGTGGTGCACACCTGTAATCCCAGTATCTCAGGAGGCTGAGGCAGCAGGATTGCAAGTTCAAAGCCAGCCTCAGCAAAAAGCGAGACACTAGCCACTCAATAAGACCCTGTCTCTAAATAAAATACGAAATAGAGCTGAGGATATGGCTTAGTGGTTGAGTGCCTCTGACTTCAATTGCCAGTACCGAAAAATAAAATAAAAAGAGCTGGGGATAGCTCAGAGGAAAAGCATACCTGGGTTCAATCCCCAATACCAAAAGGCAGGGGGAAGCTCAGATTTATTGAGCACTATGTGCCAGGTACTTTTATTTAGATGTTGATGAACCTTTATTTTATTTATTTATTTATATGCTGTGCTGAGAATCAAACCTAATGCCTCACACATGCTAGGCATGCACTCTACCACTGAGCCACAACCCAGCCCAGACAATTTTATTTAAATTATCATAATAACCTCATATAGTTGGTACTAATATCCACCCCATTTTATAGGTCAGGAACCTGAGTCTTAGAGGAACCTCTCTTATGTATGCATGAGGAAAACAAATCTCAGAGGGGTTAGGTAACTGGCCTGTAGTCCCACAGGTAACAAATGGTAGAACTGAGATTTGAACCTAGGTGACCTCACCTCAAAGCTGTGAGACTTCAAGGTAGCAGATGGTATCAGAGCCACAGGGGCCTTCAAGTTGTGTGTACAGCTGCTTGTCTTACAACAGTTAGCACCTGGCATTCTAGAATCAGTAAACCTTTGTAATCAACCAAGCCTGTGTTTGCCACTAACTAACTCTGTGCTCCTGGGCATGTGACTCTGCCTTAATTTTGCCATCTACAAAATGATGGTTATGCCAAGCACAGTGGCACATGCCTATAATCCCAGCAGATTGGGAGACTGAGGCAGGAGGATCACAAGTTCAAGGCCACTTCTATGACTTGTCTCAAAATTAAAAATTAAAAGGACTGGGGAGGCCCTGGGTCTCCTCCAGCACTTTCTGACTGTGGCTGCTGGAGAGCACGGAACTAGTAGCCCGAAAACAGCTTAGTGGTAAAGCAACCCTGGACTCAATACATAGTACCATAAAATAAATAAATAAAGTAACAGTTATAATTCTTTTTTTAATATTTATTTTTTAGTTTTCAGTAGACACAACATCTTTGTTTGTATGTGGTGCTGATGATCAAACCTGGGCCGCACTCATGCCAGGCGAGCGCACTACCGCTTGAGCCACATCCCCAGCCCACAGTTATAATTCTTACAGGATCATTATGCAAAGTAAACATTATATAAAATGCATGCCTATGTCAGGCATTTGGTAAAGAGTAGCTATTTTATTGTAAGCACCAGGATTATGAATTGTAATGCAATTGGTTTGCAGTTGAGAAAAGCTAAGGATTAGAGAAAGGAAGGGATTTAGCCAAATCACATAAAGATAGAACCAGGAGTCAAGTAATATCTCGGCTCCTCATTTACTGTTAGGCCATATGGAGGCCTAACTGTACTGGAGCAGCCCTGATAGGGAGACAGGGTATCTGTGAGTCCCAAGGTAAAAAGACAGATGGGTTTTCATAACAGATATGCTCATTAATTACTGTTATTGCAAGCTCAAGGAAAGTGGCACCTTCCCGGAGGTCCACGGTGAAGGGCATACTTAAAAAGGCCACTTAGCACAGTCAAGGTAGGAAAAATAGTTAACACCAAATGTCACCTCCTTGTTCTGTCATTCTTTTATTTACTCAACAGACAGTCTAGGTGGGCTTTTTTTTTTTTTTGATACCGGGGATTGAACTCAGGAGCACTCAACTACATCCCCAGTCCTACTTTGTATTGTATTTAGAGTCAGGGTCTCACTGAGTTGCTTAGCACATCCCTGAGTTGCTAAGACTGGCTCTGAACTTGTAATCCTCCTGCCTCAGCCTCTCGAGGCACTGTGATCACAGGCGTGCACGACCACACCTGAGGTGGGCTTTTTGCTGGCGCTGGCAACGTAGGAAAATAAGGTTCTATAGAGAGCACATAGGCACCCAGGCTACCTCCTCCACACTGTGGCCTCTGGGTTTCTCATCTGGGCCACTCTGTTCACCCCCAACCCATCAGTCCTCAGAAGGGCATTTGCACTCCCTCCAAAAAGCAACAGTCCCCAGTCACTTCTTATTGGATAACTAAATATCTTGATTTTGATGTGTGTTTCAGCTGGGAAGGGCTACCCCTGCAAGACGTGTAAGATAGTGCTGAACTCCATAGAACAGTACCAAGCTCACGTCAGCGGCTTCAAACACAAGAACCAGTGAGTAACCATCTTTGAAATTCAAAGGTCTGAAGCAGGAGCCCAGGCTTTTTAAATCAGAACAAAGCCAGGTAGTCCCAGGTTTAAGCAGAACTCTGGTAATCTCAGTCAACATAAGACAAATCAGTTAACAGGAAAAAGTGTCTCTTCTTCCATCAACTTCTTCTTTCATCAGCTTCTCCCTAGTCTTTGGACCAGCTAGGCTGAAGGATTTTGTAGAGAATCATAGATGATTTCTGTTGTGGTCCCCTAAGAGTACCCTTTTCCTGATCTGTAACAACCCACTACAGAGAAGTGTGATTTTTTTCCCCCCAACTAGCCTGAAGACCCTTGTCTTTACACCATCAATTCTGCAGCAGGAGCTCCCTCTATAGGTTATTACCAGATAGGACTAGATTCTTTCACTAGGTGACCAAGTATTTATTGAATACCCAAATGGTTGCCCCAAAACAGACTCAGTACCTGTTCTTATGACCTTACATTCTAATGGGAGGAGACAAACTAAGCAAATGAACAATCAATAAAAATTGTGGTGAGTGGGGCTAGGGATGTAGTGGTAGAGTACTTGACTAGCAAATGTAAGGTTCTGGGTTCTACTCCCAGCTCCACCTCCCCACCCCTCAAAAAAATTGTGATAAATGGGTTGAACAGGTGAACATAGTGATGATCATCTTGAACGTGAATAACATTCATTGAACCCCTGTTCTGTTGTGGGACATATGCAAAGCAAATTCTCTCATGTTATCCTCATAACAACCTTGGAAGGAAGGAGTTATTACTCTCATTTTACAGATATAGGCAACCGACATTCAAAGTGATGTGGTGAGTCAGGGCCGTGATTCAAACTAAAGCCTGTCTGATTCACATTGTGTTCCTCCCAGCACATGACGCTGAGGGGGAGGTCATGGTACCATGTGATATGAAGAGGACAGGTCCTAGTCAGGAATGCCAGTGTGCTTCTGTCCCTCCCCCTCTAAAGGGAAATGTATAGTGTAAACAATGTGCTATAACATAACCTTCTCAAATGGTCATCATAATCCCCATTTTATACAAGAGGAAATTGAGTGCCAGGCCAGAAAATCTGCTGAAATGATTGCTTTGACTTTGGTGTTGATTGTGCATTGCTCACTGAGCCAAATGAATTAAAGGTAGAAGAATACAGAGTGTTGGAATAAAAAATATCTTTGGTCCTCTACTCTGCCCAGAATTTCCTCTCCCACACTATAACAGATCTTCCTCCTTATCTGTAGGTGAATCTTTAATTTGGAGAACTCTTGGGACTTATCTTAGATACAGACTTGAGACAAGCCGCAGCATCCTAGCCTGGCACTCAAATAGCGTTTCAGCATATCTTGCAGTTTGACTAGTGGTAGTTTCAGTAAACAACCTAGAGCCAGCCAGAGGCTTGTCCTGAAGCTACTCACACTTGAAAATTATGGTTTTATAGTTCTGTTCCTAAACTTCTCAGCTGAGTGGCCTTGGGCAAGTCAATAAACCTCTCTGAGTCTCTATTTCTTCTGCAAGTTTAAAGCTCTAATGTGTTGAACAAATAAACACTTGCATCTCATTAAATTCTCAACAGCTCAAAAGTAGGACATCCCCTTCATTTTCAACCAGAGGAAGCCAAATATCACTTACCTTAAGTGATTTGCCCAAGATCACATAGATACTTGGAATTAGACCAAGGATTCATACTTATTTAACTGCAAACCCCATTTGTTTTGCTCTGCCACTACCAAGTGGAACTCACCAGCCTCACATTACTGTCTGGGTGAGGATTAGAAATATGTGAAGTGGCCAGGCATGGTGGCACACACTTGTAATCCCCGCACCTCGGGAGACTGAGACAGGAGGATTGCAAGTTCAAAGCCAGCTTCAGCAAAAAGCAAGGCACTAAGCAACTCAGACCCTGTCTTTAAATAAAATACAAAATAGGGCTGGCTCAGTAGTCAAGTGCCCCTGAGTTCAATCCCCAGTACGCAAAAAAAGGAAGAAATATGTGAAGTGCTAGTGCCAATAAGTTGTATCTATTAAAGGTAGACTTTGATTTATTCAACAAATATTTACTCAACACCTATTATGTGCTGGGCTCTGTTTTAGAGACTGGGGATACAATAGGCACCAAGACCAGTGTTGTCCCTGATACTTTGGTTCCTCCCTCTAGAAATAGAAACAGATCCTAAACAAATCCATAAAAAAGTGAGGCAATATCAAGTGGTACTATGTCCCTAGAAAATGGGTTAGAGAGTGACAGGAGAGCCACATTTGACTGAATGTGAGGGGGAGAATGGTGTGGAATAAGGTTGGTAGGGTAAGTATCCAGGCCAAGTAGGCAGAGTAAATGGTTTGGTATAGTGGAAGGGCATGGGCTGCAGACCTGAATCTACCACTAAAAAACTTACTTTGGGCCAGCCCTTTAAATTTTCTGAACTTTAGTTTACTTATATGTAAAATGGGGATTCAGAATTACCATGAGAATGAAATAGGATAATGGAAAGTGTGCACCATCCATCCTGTCCTCATGCAGCAGACCTTGTTACAAGAGGAAAGCCGCCCTGCTTCCTCTTCCCAGGTACTTGAAGAGCCATGCTACCATTAGAATAAGGGACTTGACACCTCATTAACAGGATGCCACGCACTGACCCTGTGCTTTGTTGGTTCTCATTTCAGGTCACCAAAAACAATGGTATCACCCTTGGGCCAGATTCCAGTACAAAGGCAATCCACTCAGAAAGACTCAAGCACCTTAGAAGACTAGAGGTTTCTGTCTAGCACTCCACACTGGACCAGTCCTGAGCCAGCTTCCTATGACTGTGGTCAGCTCCTGGCTCCCTCTTCCTCCTTTCTTACAGTAGGAGAATAAGTAGCCCAGAGGAAGAATTGGGCCACAGACAGCCTCTGATAGGTCCAGGCAAACCTGCACCCGCTCCACCCTGTGGTATGGGTCCTGTTGGTCATGACGGGGAAGCAGGGGTCTTGAGACGACTTGGGTGGTAGATTGGAGGATGGCTTTTCCCCTTCCTCAGCCCTACTGGGCCTCACATCCTGTGGCTCCAGCACCTGCTTTTTCTCTAAAGATCAGTTTGGGGTCAGTTCTTACAGCTAAAAAACAGAGTTGTCCCTCAGCTCCAGACGTCTCCTGTAGTCTTCATGCAGATTTGCCAGGGCAGGAGACAGTAGATGGAAATGGACACCACATGCGAGCTTAGAGCCAATGTGATACTCCCCCTCTCTGCAAAATGTGCAGGCTCTCTTGAGCCTTGAGTCAGATGCTGGCCAACTATACAGGTTTCTGCCAAGTGTGACATCTCCTTCCTGGAGCACTGACACAGTCCCAGCAAAGCCTTGCTGTCCCTCCTGCCCATTTCCACAGTTCCTGAATGGTGCTAAGGATTTGTAGCAGCTGATGACAAGCTGAAGCCGGAGGAGGCCTCTGTACCCAGTGGGACCATGGAAAGCTCCAATGAGGACCTTCACCTCCCATCAGAGGTGCTCCAACACTCGGTCATGTGGGAAAGTCCCCACCTGCCACCTTCCTTGAGGATTCTGTGCTTTGAAAGGCAAACTGCCTCATGCCAGCCAGCTGATAAGTTCACTGCTGCCCTATGGCCCTGTGGAGCCTGTTTCCCCTATAGCGGACCATCCCACACCAGGCGGCTGTGGTGCTATCCTTCCCTTACCCGTGGGGAGATCCTTGAGTACCAGGGAGTCATAGGTCTCCAGGGAAAGAAATGGGGAGCTGATACAGGTTTCTACAGTGAGGAAAATCTACAGATTTTTCCAGGCCTCAAACCCAGATTTCTCTAACTCTGCTGTGATTTGTGGCCTGGGACTTCACTAGGAGTGCATTTTTTCTTATAGCTTTCGAACAAGAATTCCAGGGAGTGTCTCCATCTGAGGCCCCTCTTCACTGGGTTAAAGAAGCCTCCAGCTGCTTTTGTGGCCCCCTCTCTCACTTCCTATCCCCTACCTGTGAAATGCCTTTGCATATTGTGCGTGAGTATGTGTGTATGTGTGCTTATGCTCTCTTGGTCACTGAATCATTCAAATAAAGAATCTCTTCTTTGAGCCAGAATACAACTTAACAGACCTGGGGTTTGGGGACATGTTGCTATTGGATCTAGCGTATCCATCTTTTTTTTTTTTTTGGCGGGGAGTCAGGGTTGGGGGGTTGAACCCAGAGGCCCTTTATCACTTTATCTCTTGAGACAGATCCTTGCTAAGTTACTTAAGGCCTTGCTACATTGCTGAGTCTGGCCTTGAACTTGAGATCCTTCTGCCTCAGCCTCCAGAGTCACTGGGATTACAGGTATGTGCTACTACACCTGATAAGTGTGTCTTAACCCCTCTTCCCCCACACTCAGACCCCCAGGGTCCTCAGTCTGATCTTAGGATTGGGACAGAGACAGATATCCAGATTGCTTGGACCACTAAAAGTCTCCCTCGTGCCCCAAATTTCATCTACTCATCTACCTCCCCCTTCACATAGGGCTTCCTGGAGGTCTTTGGAGGATTTTGGGTGGTTTTGTCCCACAAGGCTCTCTGAAGTTCTTCTCCATTGCTCTCATGTTCAGGGTGCCAGGTCATGAGTGTTTGGTTGAATGAATGAACAAGAGTGTATAAGGAGAGATAGCCTTTTCTTGCTTAGCTCTTACCCAGTGATAGTTTTGTTCCATTGGGACTACAGGCTTGGTGGTTCTTAGAAGGACCTTTTCTGTGACCCAGAAATAGTGGGGCGTGGGGGGGAGTGAAAGAGTGTCATGGCCTCAGGAACCTTTTGTCCAACCTTTGTTGCAGACAACCAGAACCAAGCACCCCTAATTCCTATTATTCACTCAGCAAAAAGTCCCTAGGCACCTGCTCCTGGCCAGCTGTGAAAGGCTCTACATATCCCCAGCGTAGATGTTCAACCTCAGACTGCCTCAGTAGTGTCCCCCTAGAGGTCCATGGGGGCTGCGTGTTTTACCAGGGATCGAATTCAGGATCTTGCACACACTAGACAAGCACTCTATCACTGAGCTGTGTCTTCCTCTCTTCCCCAGAGCTCTTCTGCAATGTCCAGGAGGTTTCCAGGCAGGGAAGTGAAGGGCGAAGGGGTGGAATGGACTGCCCTACCATAAACCCTTGACCTGTGGGACCTCTTTGTCTGGATTCAGGAATCCCTGCCAACTGTGCAACCAGCATTGGTGTGGGGACACCAGAGGTGAACTCTATTAAAGAGCATTGTGACAAGATTGTACTGAGTGTTGTGGTAATACCCAAGGATGCAAAAAATAACTCAGCACGAGTATGAAAAAGCTGGAGAAGTTGGGAAACTAGCATTTGATCTACATAACTCTCTTTTTTTTTACAGGGGTGGGAGGGGTACCAGGATTGAACCCAGGGGCATTTAACCACTGAGTCATATCCACATAAGGCCTCAATAAGTTGCTAGGGCTGGCTTTTAACTCTTGATCCTCCTGCCTCAGCCTCCTGAACCTCTGGGATTACAAGTATGTGCCACCACACCCAGCCATAAATACTTCTTGAGTTAGATAATTATATTTCATTTAGAGAAGGAACAAGTCTCAATGAGTTATAATAGTGATTTTGCCAAGATCTTACCTCTAAGAAGTAGCTAAATGGGAAGTAGAATCCACTTCTAGATTTGTGGTTCAGAATCCTTCCCACATGATCTGTGGCAGTGCCATGGTCTCAGAGCAAGCAGCCACTCATGGCAAGAGCAGCAGCAACATCCACAAATAATTCAGACAAGGCTCGCTGTTTATTTTACATTCCAAGCGCCCCCCCATACAGCCCAGAATTTTATCCAATATTCAGTGTAGTAGACTACAGTTATAACTAAGAAAATCAAATCAAAGTGGTTAACTAAAAAACAACAACAAAAAAAGAATTTATTGGTCCACTTAATGAAAACTCTAAGCACAATGATAGCTAGATTCAAGTTCTAACACAGTGCACACTTTTTTTTTTTTTTTTTTGTATCAGGTATTAAACCCAGGGGTGCTTAACCACTGAGCCACATCCCCAAGCTCTTTTTCATATTTTATTTAAAGACAGGGTCTCGCTGAGTTACTTAGTGCTTCGCTGAGTTGCTGAGGCTGGCTTTGAACTTGGGATTCTCCTGCCTCAGCCTCCCAAGCTACAGGGATTACAGGCGTGCACCACCATGCCTAGTTGACAGTGCACAGTTTCATCAGGAATATCATTTTTTTTCTGTGCAGCCTCTTTCTCGGGCAAACTCCAAAAGTTGACAAAGTGGCCACTGGCACTCTAGGTTTATATCCTGATATATCAGTAACAACAGTGGAAAAAATAGCTTTACTAGTTCAACTAATAAACTCATTAGACAGCTTGGTCATGTTTACATTCCTGAACCAGTCACTGGTCAGGGGAATGAGTGCTCTAATTTGGGCCCTGGGTCATATATCTAAAGCCTGGGAAGACATCAGCTACATCTGAAACACATTGAGAAAGAGGAAGAGAGGTGACCCTAGAAAGAAAATTATAGGGCTCTTACCAGTTAAAAGACAAAAAATAATGTTCTCCACTAGACCCAGGAATTGTTTTTATTTAATAACCATTCTCTTCCCCACCCTCAGTTTGGGATACAGTATCTGTTTAGTTATGTATGCCAGTTTTTAGAATGACAAGTCCTTACATATATGTTGGCCTCTAGGCAGTTACCTTCCAGGTCAAGATATAGAATATCAGGCTGGGGTGTAACTCATTGGTAGAGCTCTCAACTAGCATGCCCAAGACCCTAGGTTCAGTCCCCAGAACTGCAAAACAAGATACAGAATATTGCCAACCCTCCAGAGTTTTCCTCATTCCTCTAATTAGTCACTATCCCTCAGAAGTACCATTATTTTGACTTTTATCACTATGGATAAGTCTGCCAGCTCTTGAGTTTTATAAAAATGGAATTATATATCCTCTTTTGCCCAGTATTATATCTGAGACTCAATAATTCATTTTTATGCTATGTAGTAATCCATTATTTAAATCTACTATAGTTTAGCCTTTCTACTGTTGATGGAAATTATGATCATTTTCTGTTTGGGGCTATTACAAATAAAGTTGCCATGAAAAATTCTGTACATGTTATTTGGTACACATGTGCACTTATGTTCTCAGGAGTAGAATTATAGAGTAAGTTTGGTTTTTGTTATTTGTGTTTATTTTGGGTTTGTTGTTGTTTGGGTTTGGTCTTGGACGTTTTTTGGCTTATATGTGGTTTTTGCTTGCCTAAGTACTGCCAAATGGTTTTTTTTTTAAATTGGACACAATACCTTTATTTTATTTTTATGTGGTGCTGAGGATTGAACCCAGGGCCTCACATGTGCTAGACGAGCACTCTACTGCTGAGCCATAACTCCAGCCCGTGCCAAATGGTTTTTTGAAGTGGTTCTACCAACTTAACATTCCCACCAAGCAACGGTTCCACATCCTTGTCAGCACTGGTCTTCTTGATTTTAGCCATTGTGATGATACCCAGGAATTTGAACCCAGTGATCCTGACTTCAAATCACAGGCCCACTTATTCTCAATACCCCTAATATCAGGTTTGAATTTCTCTAGGCTTGGATTACATCACATGTTAGTGGGCAGGACCCATAATACAGCCTGCAGACATCAGAGGGAGCTCTTGCCCATGGTTCTAGAAGCCAGTGAAGGTCTCAGAGAAGTATCATCCCTGAAGAGGCAGTCTGGTGCAATGGCAAGTTCAGGCTCTCAAACCAGGCAGCCAGGGTTCAGGTCCCAGCACCCACTTTCCAAAGCCATGCATACCTGGGTTAGTCAACTTCTACTTCAGAGTAAAACATGAGTACCTATGGATTATTATAAGAAATTTAAAAGTTAAATATGAGCCACACCTGGTGGCATGCACCTGTAATCCTGACTCAGGAAGCTAAGG